TTTTTACTCTGGCGATGGATCCGGGAGATCCTACTTCGATACTTTTCACAAAGATCAGAACTTTAGAACCAGATTTCGCCTCGAAAATCATCGGTTACTTGCTTTTACAGGACTTGGGTAATAGAGATTTGATGCGTTTGGCTCTTGGTCCAGAGACTCTCTTACAGTCCGTTTGTCTGAAAGCTAAATCCGCTCTGGGTCTTGGATCTTCTTCTGCTTCGAACCCTCTCTCCGGACCCATTAACATCCACCGTCATTCTCCGAGGGGAAATGGGTTTTCGAGAAACCCTTTGTCTCCTTCGGTGAACACTCCTGGAAGTAACCCTAGCATGATTTCGAGTCCGTTTCAAGCAAGTTCGTCTCTTTTTGCTTCAGATTGTGGTGACTCAAGTGGTGGAAACGGCGATTTACTCGATGAGCAGCAACTTGGAAACTACTTGTCTTTCCTCAACGAATCTTCTTCCAAGAACAACAACGACGATGCAGATCCGTTCGGGTTCTCCGCCGACAATGGCGATGCCCATTTGCACAAGAGGAGTTACTCAGCCAATGATGCTTGTTTCGGCTCAGAGGAACCTGGATTTGGCGGTGGTGGTTATAGTAGGTTCCTACACGGTGGATTAGGTGATGATTTCGATTCTCCCGGCGGTTTTGGCTCGCCTGATTACGTTTCTAGACAGCAAGAGGAGATAGCGAGGATGAAATTGGCTCAGAGGCAGCGAATGGCCGCTGCTCAGTACTTGGCTGGTGGTGGCTCTCCAATGTCGTATGACAAAGGCATCAATTTCCTCTTGAATCAGCGTAATGCGCTTAGGTAATGAACCTCTTTGTTGCCTAACAATAATTGCTTACTAAAGACTTCGGATTTTACGAAAGGAGTGTAGAATATAAGGTGGCTCATGGGAAAGTTTTAATCTTTGTGCATTTATATGCCAGTTATTGCTTATATTACTGTGGTTGTTGTAGTCCTCTTCCTATGGTTTACTACTTTTAGTGTTCGTTTACATGCCAATCTTTGCCTCTTTTGTCCTCTTTGGTTTACTCGATTGTCTAAGTCATTCCTTTGTTTCAAGTATGCTGGAGTATTGAAAGACTTGTCTTTGATGCTCTGGCTTAGATTCTTAGTTTTTTTTCCATTTGGTGGTGTTTGTATTGCAGATCAGGACGAGCAGGGCAATTTGGCGAAGAGGGTTACTGGTTCAGTAGTCCAGGCCGGCACGAAAGGGAGGAGTTTTTGGGGATGGGAGATAAATCTAACTCTGCGTCTAAACAGATTTACTTGACATTTCCAGCTGACAGCTCCTTCACTGATGAAGATGTCTCCAATTATTTTGGGTACCTTTCATAAACACAACTGGATCAAAGCTGTTATACGTTTGCCTATCTACTTGCGTTTGCCTGGCTACGAATCATGATTGTTGTTTTCCCTTAGGAATTTTGGACCAGTGCAAGATGTTAGGATTCCATACCAGCAGAAACGAATGTTTGGGTTTGTCACTTTTGTCCACTC